TCCATTTATTATATATGATACATTCTACACGGTACAATACAAGTTCGACTCCTCGAATTAAACCGAACGGGAGGCAGCAGCTCTGAAGCAAAAGGTTTTTTATTTTGGTTTTTTTTTCAAATGATTTTTATTGAAGCAAATAAGATAATAACAATAAGGAATACAGTTCACTTTTTATTTTTTGGATAAACGTATACTTATGCAGGTATAACTTCTAATATATGAGATCCATTTATATATGTGAAGATTTGAAATATATTTAAAATGTTGAAATAGTCACACCTACTACTATATATTTAGTTAGGTAGGAGCTCCATATCTGAAAAATAAGAAAGAAAACGCTGCCATTTTTGGAAAAAATTAATCACAATTAGGTATATTGTTTTTTTTTTGTTTTGTTTTTTGGACAAACGTATACTTATGCAGGTATAACTTTTAGTATATACACACACAAGTACAAATGTGGAAATAATCACACCTACTACATATACAAAAAACAAAACAAAATGAGGACAATAAAAGGAGAGATCATATCTGAGGATGGAGTTAAAATATTAGTATATCTGTGGATGTGTAAATTTAAATGACCTCTTAGCATCATTATTGCCAATATGAAATAAAAATTATAAGTTTTTACAGAAGCTTTGGAGCATTTTAACCGTTCCTGCATTTAGAAAGTGAATAATAATTACCTCAAAATGTCAATAAACAGTTAAAAAAGTGTCTAAAAATGTCTAAATAATGGCGGCTGAACAGGCAGGAGACATAAAACACAGATTCCTTTATTTCCTCTCTGACCTGTGCAGGGAAAAGGACTTCAGAGAGGAGGACTCCTGTCCTCTTCTTCAGTGGTTAAGAGTCTAAAAAAAGCTCCACTGGCAGGCTTTGTGGGAGGCGGGGGTCTTTTTCTAATCGGGGTTATCCGACAGTTGGGCCAATAAGGTATTAAGGGCGATGGGACCAGAGGAAGCCCACGTCTCTGAGACCAAACCCAGAGGAGAGGAAAGTCTGTGGTCGTCTTAATCTCCGAGGGAGCTA